AGAAGGAAGGTTGGGCAATCCTACTTCCGTAGTGATACTGCCTCGGAAACCCAAGGAGGGGTCGCTATGAGTCGGGCCGACTCGACGGCACATAACAACAACAACAACAAGCCTACGGGGACCCATAAGGGTGTGAGGGGGTAGTGTCTTTTGAGTTTACAGACACTACTGAGCTAGAACTCAAAGTTCTTTATACTTTTCTGGTTTTTATCTACTCTCCTGGTATTAAAAATAGAATGTAGATTGATCATCAGCAGTACATATAGCTGCAGCTTTATTTTTGGTATAAGGTGTCAGAGAGTTAAATGACTGTAAAGTATGGTCTTTCTATATCCATATTTGGAAATACTGGTTAGAATTACTGTTGGAATTCAGCATGAAACAATCTAGAAGAGAAGCCCATTCTTTACAGGAAAAAAAAAAAAAGAAAAAAAAAAAAAAAAAGCTTGAAGTTAGTTATATGCTATGCCATGAAGTTTGACCTTAAAAGTTTCTTACTTAAAAGTAGGCATTAGTGGAAACCTAAAATCTATGTAGTCCACCTGTACTGGCTGTTCCAGAAAAACATTTCTTTTTTAAAATTCCTGTTATAATTGGCTTTGGAAACAGCTAGGTTTATCAGTCATATAGCTTCACCTAAATTGTAGGAAAAGAAATAGTTCTCTGTTGGTTCTCAGATATTTTCAATAACGTATTCATAAGGTTTTCACTGGCCAATTTTTCAGAAGTGGATGGTCCTGTCCTTCTTCCCAGTGTGTCTTAGTCTGGAAGCTCTGTGCTGCTATAGCATTTGAAATACTAGTGTCATAGCTTCCAGCCTCACAGCAACACACAAGCCACCACAGTGTGACAAACTGACAGATGAGTACTGGTCTCAGATAAAACAGAATAGGAAATGTAGGGCTGAGTAAGGCTCACGCTGCTGCAGTAAGCTCTAAATAACAGCAACAAAACACTGTCATCGAGTCAATTCTGACTCAGTGACTCTTTAGGACAGACTAGAACTGCCCCTTAGGGTTTCCAAGTCTATAAATGTAAGGAAGCAGACTGCCTCACCTTTCTCCCTCGGAGCGGCTGGTGGGTTGGATTAGCATCTGAGCGCTTTAACCCCTGCACCACCAGGGCTCCTTGTAGTAAGCACTGGAATCCTATTAAAGTGCTCTAAGTACCCTTCATCAAGTTAACAGCTCACAAACTTAGTATAAATAATCTATACAAAAAATGCCTATGCTGAAAATAATCCTACTTTAAGGGTCCCCACACCCCATTGTTGTTGTTGTTACGTGCTGTCAAGTAGGACCCGACTCACAGCGACCCCTCTTTGGGTTTCTGAGGCAATATCACTATGGAAGTAAATTGCCCAACCTTCCTTCCGAGGAGTGGCTGGTGGGTTTGAACCGCCAGCCTTCTGGTTAGCAGGCCAGTGCCTTAGGCACTAAGCCACCAGAGCTCTCACTCTCCATCAGTCATTATTATAAACTTGTAATATTCAATAATACAACTTACTATCTAATCATAACCAAGCCAAAGACAAGTAATTAATAACAATCAAAGCTCAGATATCAGAGACAGCTTTTGGCTAAGGGCTGAATTAGTTGTTTAAAAAACAAACAGGCTTTAAGTGATCTGAAACAAAGGGCTGTGATGGGAGAGTGAGGAAGGGGCCTCTCTGCAGGACTTCTGTAGATCACCCTGAGAGTGACGGGAGCCACTGGGAACAAATTCCTCTTTTCATTTGCTCCGTACATTTGAGAAGAATAAAGCTCTTGCCAATGAAGCTGCAGCTGTGCTCACCCTCAGCTTAATCACTGTGTAAGGCTGAGGGTTAATTAACTGCCATTCTTAGCTCTATTTGTTGTTCTAGTAAAGATCCGCATAAATCTAAGATTGGGGGTAAGTGATACTTGATTTTTATTTGGAAGTATCAGTGTGTGTGTGTGTATGGGGGGAAGCTCATCCATCCTGAGAGCTGATGTATGTGGGTATGCTGAGGGCATTTTCATTTGACCTGGCCTGTGCAGTTGTTTGTCTGCAGGGTAGTGGACAAAGACCTGATGGTTGATTGCAGATGGAGGCTCTGCTGGCCTAGGATGGGCCACAAGGCAGGCGATGGTCTGAAGGCAGATGACAAGGAAAGGAAACACACAAGGCAACGGTCAAAACCCAAATGATTCCCTCAGACCAGGAAGAAGGGATAAGAGTGAGAAAGCATTTTTTAACTTGGTTAAATCTTTTATCAAGATTTTATTTGTGATAATATGAAGAGGTTTGATTGAAAGTTAACTTAAATCTAGGGCAAAAAAAACTACAGACACTGAAAGTATCCCAGATAACCATATGAAATAAATAAGTCCATTATACAAAAGAATGGATGTTTTGACCTAAGATAAACAACTCTTTTTTTAAAGCTCTAGAACTATCAACATACATATAAATGATGTGACAAGTAGGAAACCTTTTCATATGTATTAGAGTATGAACAGTTTGTTAGCATGTATTTTACAAATAATATTCTAGTCTTATGTCAGAGAGGTAGGAGCTCTGGTAGTGTAGTGCCTAAGGCACTTGACTGCTAACCAGAAGGCTGGTGGTTCAAACCCACCAGCCACTCTGCGGAAGGAAGATGGGGGAAGGAAGTCATTATTATAAACTTGTAATATTCAATAATACAATTTACTATCTAATCATAACCAAGCCAAAGACAAGTAATTAATAACAATCAAAGCTGAGATATCAGAGACCCAAGGAGGGGTCACTATGAGTCGGGTCTGACTCGACGGCATATAACAACAACAACAGAATGTCAGATAGGTTGTCTAGTTCACGTAACTTAAGGGACATTATTATCTCTAGGCTTACTCTTATTCAATATTGAACAGCATTATTTTCAAAATCTATTTCTTATAGGTGATTTTGATTTAGCCAGGGGTAAAATTCTTTGGCAGAATGCATACGTAATTTTCTGAGACAGAGGAAAATAAAATTCTGATTCACTGCACAGTCATCTTTTTGACTGCTGAGAGAAGGCTTTGCTGGAATGCATCCATCTATTCCTCTAAGCAAGGATACCTGTACAGAGAACAGACTCTCACATATAAGCTGATTTAGTGTAAAAGGCCCCATTTTGACTGACTGGGCGCAAAGCAGGCTAGGTCTGGGTACCAGAGGAGTAAGGACTGCCTCTCAGCACTGAGCTTTCTCTCCGTTCATGCGGTAACACCTTATTCCATGTGTAAGAGGTGAGCACTTATTCATCTAGTGCTCATAAGTGACTCATAAACACGAAGGTGTTTTCTCAAATAAAGGCTTACCTCTCAAAAGAAATTTTTCTCTTAAAAAAACAATACCCTCACTGTCCTCAGATTTTAGTAAGACCCCAGAAATACTTTTTTGGGTGTAAGGGAAAGGCACATGCTTGTAACAGTTCCAGGAGCACCACTCGGTCTAGGTTTCAAATCACGAAAAAAATAAAAATAAGCCTTTTTGTGAGATTACCTACAAACGAGGTGATAACAGTTATTGAGACAAAAGAGGGTGAAATAGGAATAAAGGGACTGAAAGAACAAAGTATTCATCATTCAACTTTAAATCAGTCCTGCATTACTGAACCTCAATCACTACCTGGGGTAAAGTATGAATTAATTTTTGAAACATTTTACAACAACCTTGCAGAATTTTATTTTCTTTTTGGCATTAAAAGCATTAATTTGTTACATTTGAATATTTTCAAAATATCTCAATTGTATTAAATTCTGTTTGTACATGTCTTCATTTGAAAAAGTTTTTATTATCAAAAAAGAAGAAAACTACAAAAGTAGAAAAGATGATAATTTCTTTAGGTTTTATAAACCAATCAGGAACCTAAGAGAGGCTCTAATTTCACTGTTATTTTGCTCTTTTATCTAAAATTTCACTTCTCTAATAAATAGAGTTTATATCTAACTCTGAAAGACAGAATTTTATAAACAAATAAGACAATTAATTAATAATCAGAGAGTGTTCCCAAATATGTAGAAATATATTAAAAAAAAAAATCTGGTCAAAGATACAGTCACACATCCAGAAGTACACAGGAAACCTTCAGCTTTAAGCACTCCCGCAAGCCACAAAGGCCTGGCCATAAACTCTCTTCAGTCTTTCTGAGCAGTAGTACTTCCTTGTTTACTTTTGGGTATTTCCTAGTTCAAGACCATTCAGCTTTTTTGTTCTACTAGCTTGTCAGGATGCACGGTTGTTAAGATGCCAAAGAGGTCATGTCTGTGTGGTGCTGCCTGGTTGTTAACAGATTTTAATAGCCTACATTTCTCAAATTAACATCTTCTGGTAGGCATCTAATTACAGATTAAGCTATTCAATTTGAATTTTTATTATTATTTGGCAGCAGAATTTAATGCATTCTTTAAATGCACTTTCTCATCTAAAATGATTTTTCATTAATTTATACCACTCTGCATTTTTCTTCTTGGCAAATAATAGGCCTTAAAAAGACTAATGAGAACACACAATTTAAAAGAAAGTATGTTACATACTATGGATATTTAAAAGTAAAAACAATAGTAGTAGTAAACAATTTACTAAAGTCTGACAATTATGTCTTAAAAAGCTCCAATTCAATACTGGATTTAGTCTCTTACCAGGGTTGCAATCTGTAAGAAGTGAGCAGATGGAGAGGAGAACTTTAGAAATGGTTAGGGCCGGACTCCAGTTGTCCTTTAAGATGTCCAGACAGATCACGCCTTGGCTGTTAATATTACAGTGATAGATTCTTGTTCGGAAGGTAACCTAGAGGAAAATGTAAAGGCATCATGAACAAACACACCTATTATTACACAAAGGAGCTCTAGTGGTGCAGCAGTTAAGGCATTTTGGCTGCTAACCAGAAGGTCAGTGGTTCAAACCCACCACCAGCTGCTCCATAGGCACAAGATGAGGCGATCTACTTTCGTAAAGATTTACAGCTCTGGAAACCCCATGGGAGTTGCTATGAGTTGCAAATGAATCAATGGCAGCATGTTTGGTTTGGCTTTTATTATTTCATTAGGAGCCCTGGTGGTGCTGTGGTTAAAGCATCTGGCTGCTAACCAAAAAGCTGGTGGTTTCTACCTACCATTCATTCTGTGGGAGAAAGAAGAGGCAGTCTGCTTCCATAAAGATTTGCAGCTTTGGAAACCCTATGGGGCAGTTCTACCTGACCTATACAGTCACTATGAGTCAGAATTGACACAATGGTAGTGGCTATTACTACGCAAATAACACTAGGGTCACTGGTTGAAACATATGTAATTTTTATTTTCTTTAGACACATGACAATAAGTAATAAACAAAAATCATTATGTTAAGAACTTACTTTGGCCCAAAGAACTAAAACCCAACAGTAAAAACATGATGTTCTGCTTCTGATGAAGAATTCTGGGGAGTTGAATTTACTCATAAGAGGAAAAGTGACTGTGATCAATGGAAAAATTTCAAAGTAAAGATCTGTAATTTAGAAAATAAAAATTTCAAAGGAAACTGGCATGGGATTTCAATTTTTTTTTAAAGGATTTTGTGTATTAAAAAAAAAAAATCCAACAACTAAAAAAGCATGAGAATACTAATAAAGGACAATAAACATTCTGTGTCATGGGAGCTCTGGTAGCATAGTGGCTAAGGCACTTGACTGCTAACCAGAAGGCTGGTGGTTCAAACCTACCAGCCACTCCTCGGAAGGAAGATAGGGCAATCTACTTCCGTAGTGATACTGCCTCGGAAACCCAAGGAGGGGTCGCTATGAGTCGGGTCCGACTTGATGGCACATAACAACAACAACAATGTCATGGTTCAAAAACATGAAATAGGACATCATATAAATAATAAACCTAGGAAAATAACATTAGTTATAATTTTCAAAACTTTTCCTCAAATTGTATATTTTGAATATAGTATTAGTACAGCCTACCTTTTCCCTATGATAGCTAGATCACTATTACTCTTACGTATTATTTTGAAGCATGGTTATAATATTTTTAAAGAACTTTAGTTGAAAAAGTTAAATCAGTGTTGTAACACTGACTACTACTTTCTAAGACTCTTACTTAAGTAAGAGGATTGCATGCTGTTTGTTAATACCATGTTTAATTTGTAAGTTCAAAGATACACAAGTTTTGGTGTTCTACAGACCAGTTTTCTGGTACCCAAAGTTCAAAATGTCTCAGAAGCAAGGGGCCCAGAGGCATGGTAGATCTCTGCAGGTGTTGCCACCTCACCAGGTAATCCAACATCCACATCAGGAGATTTATTTAATTTATACGATGTCAAATCTCAGAAAGGGTAGCTCCAGGTCTTCTACAGTTGTTGAACAATACAGTGTTGTTCATGGGCTAAAATAAAACCAAAAAACCAAACTCACTGCCGTCATGTGGAATCCAACTCATAGAGACCCCTCCTTGGGTTTCTGAGGCAGTATCACTACTAAGTAGATTGTCCAGTCTTCCTTCTGAGGAGTAGCCCGTGGGTTTGAACCACCAGCCTTCTGGTTAGCAGTCAAGTGCCTTAGGCACTACGCCACCAGGGCTCCCACCGGCTAGACTAGAACTTCTAATAAGGACTGCCTTTCTCCCAAAGTGAGACACCTGATAACCTGACACCCCCCACACGTCTAACAGTTTTGAAGAAATTAGAACTAAAATTCTTTAAAATGCATAGCTGAACTTGCAAGGAGAATCTCCAAAAGCCAGAAGTGAAAACAACATTATAGTAAGCACATGAGCTGACAGTATGGCTGCCCAGGATGGAGCTTGGGAAAAGGGGATGAAGGATGGTAGTCAGGCTCAATAAAATGAAGGCTTGCATTTTAATGCCCTTACAGAGAAAGAAACCAATGCTTTAGCCCTTTATGGGGTAAAGGGTTGAAACCGGGAGTCCCTGCATAAATTAGGGTGCTTAAATGTGTAGACTTTAAATGGGCAGTTGACTGCTAACCAGAAGGCTGGCAGTTCAAATCCACCAGCCACTCCTCGGAAGGAAGATGGGGCAACCTACTTCCATAGTGATACTGACTCAGAAACCCAAGGAGGGGTCACTATGAGTCAGGTCTGACTTGACGGCACATAACAACAACAACAACAAGTCCTGTATGGGGTAAAGGGTTGAAAGTGGGAGACCCTGCATAAATTAGGGTGCTTAAATGTGTAGACTTTAAATGGGTGGACTTGAAAAAATATTCATTATGGGGGAAATAACAAGAAAACTTGCCAGCAAAAGCCAGGGCTCTGGATGAGGGGAGAAAAATGTCTCCTCAGATAATTCGAAATCCCAGGTAAATATACTATACAAATAATAACTAAATGAGAGCTCAGTGATCCTAGATCAGATGTATGTTTAAGGTAAAAGCACTGTTAAAGATAAAGAGGGTTCCTGAAAAATGGTAAGATGAACAATTCAGCAGGAATGGAATAATTCTGCATCTGTTGTATCTAACAACACAGCTGAAGATACACGACGTAAAAACTGGCAGATTAATAAGAAAAAAATGACAAATCCACAATCAGGGAGATTTTCACTATATATCTGTCAAAAACTGATAGGTCAACCAGACCAAGAATTACTAAGGATACTGAAGATATGAACAAAGAAATTTAAAAAATCAAGGTGTGAAATGAAAATAAAATTTTGCACTCAACAATTAATATTCATTTCAGGCACACAAGAAATATTTATGAAAATTAACCTCATGCTAAGCCACAAATAAAGCTTGACCTATTGCAAAGAAATTATATTATGACCATAATGCAAAATAAGAATCTATCATATAAACGATCCCTCCAGATGTTTGGAAACTGAAAAAAATAAAAACATTTTCAAGTACTCATGGATCAAAGAGAAAAAATCAGCTATAGTTATAGCTAAATGACCACAAAAAGTTAGGCTGCCAATACTAACATTTGTAATTCAGTCAAAACAACTGTAAAAAAGACATGTACAGTTTAAAATGCATGCATTAGAAAAGACGACAGACATAATGACTGAGATGTCTAACTCAGGAAGGCAGGAAAAAAATCCCCAATAAACTCCATGAAAGTAGAAAGAAAAAAAGACATGAGCAGAAGTTAATGAAACACAGAATACCTAGTAATACTAAAATTTCTTCAGACAAGTCACTGTGTCTACTCTTTTAAGTGCTGGATAAAAAGATTTTTATGATACAACGTAAATGATGAGTAGGCTATAACAGAGATATTAAAAAAAAAACCTGTTAGATATTGACTGACCACTTTGAGTTAGTTAATCCTCAAAATAACTCCATGAGGAAAGAAGTATTATTGTACTATTTTAAAAATGAAGAAAGGGAGGCACAGTGATAAAGGATTTGCTCAAAGTCCCACAGTTTCTAAGTGGTGGAGCAAGAATGTGACCAGTTTCGCTGACCTGAAACTCCATTGTATCTTACTCAGCCTCAAAGCCTTTTTTTTTTTCTCCTCCCCTTCAAACTTTTAATTTTGAGATAACTGTACATTCACATGCGGTATATGAAATAATATAGAGTGATCCCATATAACCTTCACCCAGTTTCTCCCAGTGATAACATTTTGCATGGTGCTGGCTGCTAGCAAGATGGCTTCTGACTCATGTTGTTGTTGTTTGCCGTCGAGTCGGCCCCGACTCATAGCGACCCCTCCTTGGGTTTCCGAGGCAGTATCACTACGAAGTAGGATTGCCCAACCTTCCTTCCGAGGAGTGGCTGGTGGGTTTGAACAGCCAGCCTTCTGGTGAGCGGTCAAGCGCCTTAGGCACTATGCTACCAGAGCTCCCGCTGACTCATAGTGACCCCACTATAACATGCTGCATAACTATATCACAGAAAATTGACAGTGATACAATTCATGGGCCTTTTCCAGATTTCACTAGTCTTACATGCATTCAAACAAGCATGTATATTTAGTTCTATGGAATTTTATGACGTGTAAATTCACATGGCCAATTAAGACACAGAACAGCTCCATCACAAACATCTTTCATGTTCTCCTTCAACAGCCACCTCCCTCTTCTTCCCCCTGATCACTGACAACCACCAACCTGTTTCTTATCTCTACAATTTTGTCATTTCAAGAATGCAGTAAAGTGGAATAATATAGCAAAAAACCTTCTTTTTCATTGTATCTATTTTATTATGACAAAAATATATGTAACAAAGTATATGCCATCTCAGTAATCTCTACATGTGCAATTAAGTGACATTATTCCCTTCAAGATGTGCACCCATTCTTGCCATATTTTTCCAAATCATTCCACCAACATTAACATAATGCCTGCTAAGCATAAGTTCTCCCTCCCTCTCACCCTGGTTACTACTGGTAATGTTTGGTTTCTACATATTTGCTTACGTCATATAGGTGAGATCATATAGTATTTGTGTTTCATTGTATCTTTAATGGCCCCTTGTCTGGCCTTGTCTGTTGTGACATTCCTTGAGAACAATGTATCAACATTGAGCTAGATGGGCTGGCAATTGTGGGTGTGATCCCTTGGTGGTTTGCACATTACAGATGCTAAGAGTATTAAAAGGAGCTCCCGTGGTGTAGTGGGTAAGGCATTTGGCTGCTAACCAGAAGGTCGGCAGTTCAAACCCATTAGCTGTTCTGTGGAAGGAAGATGAGGCAATGTATCTCCATAAAGAATTACAGCCTTGGAAAACCAATGGGGGTCACTGTTATTGGAATTCATTCCATGGCAGTGCTTTGTTTTTGTTTTAAAGGCTATTAAATCACAAATTTTTGTTTCGATGGGGGTGGGGCACCAGGTCA